GATGCCTCAGTTGGTCTTGTAGCTTCTGTTGACTCTGATGGCTCAATCACCAACATAGGATCAATCACAACTGTATCCTCAGTCGACTCTGTTGCTTCTGTGAGTTTTGATGCCTCAGTTGGTCTTGCAGCTTCTGTTGACTCTGACGGCTCAATCACCAACATAGGATCAATCACATCTGTTTCCTCAGTTGGTTCAAGTGGTTCTTTCCACTCAGTGGGCTCTGTAAACCCAGTGGTAGGGTGCTCTTCTGTTGTTGTAGGATGCTCTGATGTAGTAAGATGTTCTGTTATTGTAGGCTGTTGCTCTGTTGTTTTAGGTTGCTCTGTTGTAGTAATCTGTTCTGTTTTTGTAGGGTGTTGTTCTGTTGTTGTAGGGTGCTCTGTTGTAGTAATCTGTTCTGTTGTTGTAGGGTGTTGTTCTGTTGTCGTAGGGTGCTCTGTTGTAGTAAGCTGTTCTGTTGCCATAGATTCCACTGTTGTATATTCATCTGTTGTCACAGGGTGCGGTTCTGTGGTAGATATCTGTGGGGTAGTTAGTTCAACTGTGGTATAGATTTCATGCATAGCTGTGGTATCTCCTGTCATAGTGGATTGTTCTATTGTGTTAGCTTGTTCTGTGGTAAAGGTGGATTCTGTAACAGCTGAGCTTGGCACATCAGAACTGCTGCTCACACTCGTGTTTTGTTCCATAGTAGAAGTAGCAGTAGGAATCAATGAAGCTGGTGACCCTTGGATTGTTGAAGGGGTATCTGAAAAACAGTTTATTGAATTAGTGTCTCCTACCACTAGCCTAATGACTGAATTTTAAATCTATGGAGTATATGAAATATTAGATATATGAATCTATGTATAAGTCTCTGAAATATAGCTATTAGTAATACTTGGTCAGTTGACTTGGTAAATCAGCAGATATTGTTGAGCAAGATTGTTTGTATATCTATAGTGTGATGAGTTACCTTCATTCTTGACACAAGACTCATTCCTGTAGTCATGTGTATAGTGACAAGGTTCCTCACAATAATCAGCCTGAAAAAAAATATAGATTAATGAATAAATGAAAAGATGAATGAATGGATGAATGGATGGATGGACGGATGGATGGCAACTGGACAGATGATTGGGAATAGATGGATAGAAAGATGGATTGGCTGAGATGGATTGATAGATAGATCAAGATGGAATGATGGGTAGATTGGTGGGTGGTTGGATGTATGTATGATGGACAGACAAATAAAAGTAAGATGTATGGATGGATGGATGGGTAGGTAGGTAGGTTGGTGGTTGGATGGAGTAAGATAACCAAACCTTACAATGATTCTATTGTTGTAGTCTCCCCCATCTACAAAACAAGAATGGGGGCCAGTCCATCCCCACCAACACAGGCAACGGCCATTGCGCAGGCATTCACCATGAAACACACCTGACAAATACGAACAAAAAAATCACTAGGAATCACTAATCACCACTCCAAGTATGGCAGTGGCGCAGCTCAACTGTGTCCAACTGAATGGGTCCAACGTGAAGGCACCTCTGGCAGCCACTATACAGTCTGTGTATGACCCTGAAGCACAGCACTAACCAGTTTGAATTAGTGTTGATTTTGAGAGGAGGGAGGAAAAACTGGAAGGTCGAAAAAACCCTTGAAGTCAGAAAGAGAACCAACCAACTCAGCTCACATGGGGCAACTGAGATTCGAACCCCAGACCTCAGAGGTGAGAGGCAAGCATTTTACCACCACACACCATCCTAACTAAAACACCAAACACCCTCCCCACTAAAAATACATGGTGATAATCTAGAAGTCCTCAATATTATTTAGACTTACCTTGACCACATCTTGGTAGGCATGGTAGTTGTGGTGTAGAGTTGGATGGAATATCACATGTCTTGGGAGTGGGTATAGTAGCACATGACGCATTAATGTAATCATGAGTGTAATGACAAGGCTCTGTGCAGTACTTGGCCTTGAAAATATAATAATGACATCAATATTTATTAAAACTTCTTGGTGTCAATAACATACTTTTGAATTATGATTTGTTGAGGTAAAAAATAAAAGGTAAAATAAGGTAATCTATTCTATTTCCAAACTACAGGGAGTTTCCCTTGGAATTTTCCTCAGCCAGGGCACATGCATAAAATGTTCCAAGGTATGTCCTTTACCCCCTCAAGCTATCAGACTTATAACAAAACGTGACGACGTAGATCCTAAGAATTGAGTCGTGTACCTCTAGTTTAAGAGGCTGCCCACCAATCAACTGAGCTACGCCTGCCCCTCCTGTGCCTGGAGTAGTTATCTGGTAACGAAAACATGTCTCTATGCTCTAAGCAAAAACTGATCTAAAACAGATACCTTAATTCTGTTTGTCAAGTTGCCAGTAGTGATGTAAGTTGCATTAGGTCCAGTCCAACCCCACCAACACAGACAACTGCCATCACTCTGACACTTCCCTTGGCCAAATTTTTCACATTTTGGATCGCAAGCTGCCCGAGGACCTATATCAACAATTAAGAGCATTGAATATATATATTATCTTCTAATAAACAGTAAAATGCCAATCAAAAACTGCTTTATCTGATTTCATGGTTTAAATATTTTATCATTTTTTTAAAGAATCATCTGAACACATGTATTGATAAATGTCACGACAAAATAAAAGTTGAATTCCATCTAAAAAAATTCTGCACCAACAATAAATAATTAATAATAGAAAATAATAAATAAAAGAACTTACTATTGGTGGAATTAAAACCAGGAGTGGAGGGACTGAGTGTCGTATTGGTGATGATGTCTGACGTGGAATTGGTGTTACTCAATTGGGAAGGTGTTATGGACGGATGTGGATTCGTTTCTTCTGTCGGTGTTGTATCATCTATGACTGACAAATAAAGTTTTAATGTTCACTTACTATATTAGACTTCAATTGGTTTTTGAACTACATCCCAAATAAAATTCCGAAAACCATTTACTAACTAAAGGGTTTTTGAGCTTTAAGGGTTGGTGTCCAAGAAAACTGCCAATGCACACGTTTTCCTAATCTATCAGCACTGTGCCATAAATGAACTAGAACATACATGAATCAAAGAGAGAGGTTTCTACATACCTTGGTTGTCCCTGATGCAGTCTGGATTGCGATAATTATGAGTGTAATGGCAACTTATCATACAATCATCTGCCTATGACACAGAACATCAGAAATTTCCACAAATTATCTTCCAATCCAAAGAGAGAGAAGGAAAATAAAGTGAGGTGGTTATGAGGATGTGAGAAGGAGCTCATTGCCCAGGCTATAACAAAATAACTATTACTTAGATTATTAAAACTTTAATGGTAATGTAAGAAAGTACAAGGTAAATGGAATAGTAACTAGATTTACTGCAATTTTCAGTATTCTGCGAACTCTGTAGTTACATGCTGCATGCTGAAATTTGGGTTTTTCTCTGCTGTAAATCAAAAATAATCAGTCCGTACCTTTAATGTTCTTGACTGGCGGCAGTAAAAAAGTTATTTCACAACAAGCCATTGAAATATCTGAGTTCGCAAAATATAGAAAACTGCAGTAAATACTTACCACAATCCTGTTCTTGTAAGGTCCATCGTTGACGTACATGGCATTATTCCCTGTCCATCCCCACCAACACAGACACTTTTCATTGCTTAAGCAGCGACCTGCAGATTCAACTAGAAAACAAACAACCAATCATTTTGTTATTCTAATGCTTCTAGGACTCAGAACTCTTCTCTATGCTGCTAGGAAGTTAGTAGGCAATCTTGCAAAACACAGAATTTCTACATCACAAAATTGCCATCAATCATTCGATTATATGAAAGAAATCAAGACAAGATCAGGGCCTGGTTGTACAAAGGGTGGATAGTGTTATCTAACAGTAAATCTTATCCAGTGGATAAATTCATTGGATATAAAGGCAGCCTCCACTTATCCACTGGATAAGGATTTAACCGTTGGATAGCGCTATCCTCCCTTCGTAAGGTTTCTTATATGTCTAATGCAGGAATACCTACATTTCCCACAACTTTTTGTGCAGGATTCAACGTTGACAGCAGGATGCGTAATGGGTGGATTGATGGTGGTTCTGGTGCTGACACAATCTGGATTATGGAAGAGAAGGTTATACTGACAGCTAATCATGCAGAAATCAGCCTGAAAGAAATGAAGAAATATTCATAGAGATATTTGCCATTTCTTGGATCTATAAAATAACAACTATGGGTGTTACCCTAATTACCCTTGCAAAACAAGAATGATACTTACTACAATCATTCCTTCTCTTGGGCCAGAGGTGATGTAAGCAGCATTAGGACCAGTCCAACCAAACTCACACAGACATCGGCCATTAGACAAACATTTGCTGCTGTTTAACCCACAATAATCATTGCATTTCTCAGCTAAAGACACAGAAAGAACATCACATATGATAGTTATACAATACTTTGGAATACCATAGAATATCCCATGCATTACTCATATTTTCTGGTTCACACGAGCCTTTAGGCAAGCTGTGTATACAAAGAAAATAAATACAAGTGCGATATTCCATGGTGTGCCATGCCAAGAGAAAGCATTGTATAACTATTATATACAAGTGATAAAAGAGATATTCCATGGTATATCATGGGGAAACATTGTATCACTGTGACAAGCGGGATACTCCATGGTGTGAAACGAGAAGGCATTGTATAACTATTTTATCACAGCCATGGAAATAACAAATGGGTAGTTTCAACATGGTAAGAAGATTAAAATTCCCTGCTTTCTGTTTGACTGTATTTTCTTTCTTAGTGGAACAAAATCAGCTTTGTTTACATACCAAAGAAACTGCTGGTGAAAATAGCTTGTACCACTACAAGTAAGAGAAGAATGGGCAAATGTCTCATCTCGGCACCTGTAAGACATCATATAAACCATGAGCAAAGAGGATGATGCGAAACAGCTATGTATCATACAGTATGAGTGGAAAAATACTGTAAATGATAGATGCCTATTGTAAGCTTGAAGTTTCAGTAACAACAACAGCAACAACAAGCAACAGCAAGAACAACAGCAACAATAAAAAAACAAAAACAGCAGCAACGACAACAACAACAGCAACTGCAACAACAACAGCAGCAGCAAACTGAGGTTGTTGTTGACTGGACAGGAAGGAATCATACATGATTAAATCTCTAGGTTCCTAACAGTGTTTATTATTCATCCTCTTACTGCACAGTAAGTTACTACACAATGACCACGTGCTCAAGAAACTCCTCCTCGCTTTATAAACTACGCAATTAGGATCAATTCTTTAACTCAAACTCGTCGGAGCCTGCGAGAGACAACTCACAATGACACCAAAAGTTTATTAAAATCTAGCGCATTTTTATAAGCTTTATAAGCTGTAAAAAAGACTTGTTTGAGCTTTATCTAAAAGATATTTAGTAATACGTACCACTCAAAGTCTTTTCCAAGAGCTTCCAGCACCAAAACAAGAGAAAATGAACGAGAAAACACGAGTAGTGAGGTGAGAAGATCGTCTTGTCATCTGATAGCAAGAGTAATATGATATTTGGATTAACCTTTGACTACTGCAGGAATGCAGACAACAAAACTCTCCTACTCACCTTCCTCTTGGGGAGTTTGTGGTACTTTGGAGCTTTATGCCACATTATTGCTGTAACAAAGGCGTTAAACGTTGAAAATATAAAGTTTTCGGAAGATTTCGTTGTTCACTGGTTGTTCACTCACACCAAAGTGCAAAGTGACTCAAAGTGACGTGACTGACGTAGTTCAAACTCTCAAGAGGGAGAGGGTAGTGGGGAAGCTTTGGTATATCAATATAATTTCTGTATTTCAAAATTATTTTCAAGTCATACAACACAGTCTATTAACAATAAATCATAAACATGTTATTTTTCTTATCTTAAAATATCCTGAAAATCATAAAAGAAATTAATACTTCTAAAATTCTGGCCTCTTGAGCTAGTCTGACAAATTCTACTCTTACCTCCCCTCCCCTATTAATATAATCACATAGTCTCTCCAAGGCCGGCGGCTTGCAAATTTTCCTATCTCTATATATTTTATTCCAAAAAGAATTTTTCGTTAAACTCCGACATTTATCAAGATGTGCGTAAAAATATAGAAGACTTTACTGTTATAGTATATTTTTCAAAAGCAAACAAAAAAATTATAGAGGAGACTGATCTTTCCTCCCCTCCCCCCTCAGTTCCTGTTATAATATGATCAAACATTTCCCATGATACGAAGCGAAGCGCAGTGTCCGCCATCTTGGTTCCTATTTCGTGAACTCAAGTTTCATTTTCTAAAGAATGTCCTCATAATATTCCCTTCTTTGTCATAAAATCACATTAGAGAGTTGTACAGATAACTTTCCTTTATTATGTTTGAGAAGAACCTGACGGATTTGGTCCGTGGAATACGGAATAACAAAGAGAATGAGGTGAGTTTATCTGTACCATGGTTTTCCCCAGTCAGTCAGTGGAATTTGAACTGTATTTGATATGAAGCCGACTACGATTGCTACATACACTTGATATTATCTATTTGTCTAAAAGATTAATCGCTTGTACTGGCTTGTAGTTTATTCTAGTTTCACTAATGGTTCTTAAACAGCTGATTTTTGGGAATGATTGTGGTAGACGTAGCAAAATTTGTACACCCTCCCCCTTCTGTATCGGGATCGCCATACCTTGTATCAAATCCCACGTCTTTTGTTCCTTGGCCAACTTTTTAAGCTATCTTATCAAGTACTAAAACAAGATCGTAACTTTTGTTTATGTCTGGTTCAGCTGTTTTATTTCGTTTCCATCTAAAGTAAGTCAGACATTCGTAAAGAGACTATTAAATCATTCAGTAAGATTATTAACTGAAACTATTCACTACCTATATAGTCTTTTCAATTACCTTATGATGATGTACCAAGAGATTTCTGAGAATAGATTTTAAAATGTTCTCTGTTGCAAATGTGTCACCCAGAAACTTGTGAAGCGATAGAAATAGACAGACACACATCTTGAGTCAGACACCCATACACTCTAATTACTGAACTGTGTTATCCATGATCTACCCAGTAATTATTAGCATTAAACAAACACATATTGGGAATCAGACATCCAAACACTCTAATTACTGAACTGTGTTATCCATGATCTACCCAGTCATTAATCAAGTGATGATCTAATATGCATGTTATTGGCCATTTTCCAGGCAAAGTACATTGCAGGATGCCTGGATGACATCAAACAAGAACTACGACAAGAAAATCCAGCAGTCAAAGCCAATGCTGTTGCTAAGCTCACATATGTAAGAATGATACTGCATTGATATTCCTGTTTTTAAACATTAACCTTACGAGTTCGCCACCCTTAATTCCCCAACCATTGGGGATTAGACACAGAAGCTGTAAAAATTTTGTTAATATTGATACTTGATGAACAGTAAAGTATCCATATTAACAAACAATATGCATTACGTGGGTTAAATTTAAATAAAGTGCATATCTACAGAATAAAAATCTGCATCGATAGATTTCCATTGGTAATAAATGAATATAAGTCTTGATGTCTATGTTTCAAAAGGCTAAGGTAACATGTTTTATGATGTTTCAGCTTCAAATGTGTGGTTATGACATCAGTTGGGCAGCTTTCAACATCATTGAAGTCATGAGTAATTCAAAATTCACTCACAAGGTAAGTGCAACATTGCACAATCAAGTGATATTTTTATATTTTTTTTAACTGCACAATCAAATAATATTTCTTTGTTATAAATCACTACAGCGTATTGGGTACCTAGCAGCATCTCAATCATTCCATGAGGGACTGGATATTCTTATGTTGACTACAAATATGCTTAGAAAGGTATACAGGTTCACATTGTTCAATGCATTATAGCTGTTCTATCGTTCTTTATACTTCACCACGTGTGGATTTGTGAATACATTTGGAAGAGGTTTTTCCATCAAATGAAATGGAAGGAATTGTTCTCATGATGAATTCTTTACATTTTCCCATTAGGATCTGTGTAGCATTAACATGTATGATGCTGGAATAGCTCTGTCTGGTTTCTCGTGTTTCATCACACCAGACTTGGCAAGAGACTTAGCCAATGATGTGATGAGTCTGGTATGTACCACATACAATTATGTATATCATCATGTTAGATATGAAATATCTAGATAATCTTATGCCTTTTCCATTTTTTTTTCTTTGCTTGTGCTTGTAAATGCTAGATTTGGGAACAACAAGTGGCATTAGTAGTAGTTAAAATTGTACATAGATCTTGCAAAGAATATGTTACAGTTGATTACTGATGTGGTTGATGATGTTGGTGTTGGTATTAATGCCATTTATACAAATGATCATAATGACACTGTTGGTACTGCTGCAGTTGATGATGACGATGATGATGATAATGGTGCTGCTGATGCCAACATTGATGTTTATGTTGATAATGGTGGTATATTACGAATCATTACTTTGATTCTGTTGGTACTCTGATGATAATGATGATGATGTCGTTGCTACTGATGATGATGCTACTGATGATAAGGATGATGTTAAGGATGATGAAGTCGATAATGGTGCTAGTAACCGATTTAGTGTTGGCGATGCTGCTGTTGATTCCAATGATGCTGATGCTGATGTTGCAGGGATGATACAAAATAACAACGAGGAGAGGGCAACTATTATTATTATTATTTATTATTTATTACTATAAATATTATTGATTAACTATAAATATTATTATTAGTATTATCAAGATTAATATTATTACTAATATTATTATTTCTAATGATCCACAGCTTGTATCCACCAAGCCTTACATCAGAAAAAGAGCTGTGCTACTTGTATACAAGATCTTCTTGAAGGTAAAGTTCATAGACTAAAGATGTTCATCAAGTCTACTACTGGTATTTATTACCTTCATATGTGTTCCTTTTTCATTAGTTTCCTGAAGCTTTAAGGCCAGCTTTTCCAAGACTTAAAGAGAAACTTGAAGATTCTGACCCAGGTGAGTTTTACCTTGAAATATTACTAAGTCTAGAATGAAATATGATTGTTATATCAGTTTTTTTATTTTTTTCCTTTCAACATACAGGTGTTCAGTCGGCATCAGTGAATGTTATTTGTGAGCTGGCTCGTAAGAATCCTAAGAACTATCTCTCCTTGGCTCCCTTGTTCTTCAAGCTCATGACAAATTCTACAAACAACTGGATGCTGATTAAGATCATTAAGCTGGTAAGATAGTACATCCCACATGGTTCAAAGGAATGACTTTAGTCTTATATGAACTCATAGAACCTTTCCAAGGTGTGGCATTTACGTAGGTATAAAATAGAATCTGCATTTTAAATATTTTTTCATTTTTGCTCCAGTTTGGTGCTCTGTGTCCTCTTGAACCACGTCTTGGCAAGAAACTACTGGAACCATTAACTAATCTTATTCACAGGTATTAAACATGAACTATATCTACAGTATATACATAGTACTATGGCGTATTATCGTCAATGGTAGACAGTAATGTAATGTCTTATCCCTAAATATTTCTAGTACTTCAGCAATGTCACTGCTATATGAATGTGTCAACACTGTAATAGCAGGTATGTGCATTGATTTGAGACACTTAAAGAATCAGACTAGAGTACTTTAGTTCTTATTGTTTTTTTGCTAAGTTATTGTTTTGTCTGTTATTACAATAGGGCTTCCACACCATCAGCCATCAATCCAGGTATGATGAACAACTTCTGATCATTTGATTTAGATAAAATTATATTTTAGTTTGGTACATTATTGGGTAACAAGAATGAATCACACAAAAACCTGATGTCTTTTTTCATTTGATCTTGTATAGTTGTGTATTTCTAAGCTGCGACTGCTTCTTGAAGATCCAGACCAAAATTGTGAGTGGATTTCATGTTTGACGTCGTTCTTATTACTTTTCTTAGTGAAGTAATATCAGGTAGAATTTGAGATAATTAGCATCATCATCATCATCTCATCCATCATCATCACCACTATGTATGCCACCGTCATCATCATAATCATCATACCAGCCATCATCATCATTATCATCATCATCACTATCATCATCATCATCACCATCATGCCACATGCGGAGTACAATTTGTTTTTACTAACACACATGGTATCAATATTTTTCCAGTGAAGTATCTAGCATTGTTATCCATGTCTAACATCCTCAAGATCCACCCTAAAGCCGTACAGCAACACAGGTAACCCACACAGTACTCTTATCAATTAATGATAGCTCTTGGACAATCAAATAGGGATATTTTAATATTAATACAACTATTATTGTTGTTATTACAGAGACATTATAATCCAGTGTTTGGATGATAAAGATGAATCTATCAGACTGAGGGCCTTGGATTTGATTGTAGGAATGGTAAGTTACATATGCTACCTCAACTCTCAATTATTGTGAATCAAGGGTGATATACCAGAAGGGCACTCGCTACTCACCTCCGGTATCACATGTGAGTAGAGTTCATTAAGTCTATCTCTCTTGATTCAAGGGTTTTCCTCTGGTTTTCCTCCCTCCATGAAACCTGATGTGCTAAATTCCAATTCCATCTGTGAGTTAGTCATGCCCTGACTTAGATCAGTCCAGAGACTGTTTCAGAGTATTGATAAAATTGAAATAGTTTATAATACAGGGTTGGGCAGGGTGTGTCATGTGCTGGGTGATAAAATATGGTATAATTTTTTTTTTAGGTTTCGAAGAAGAACATAATGGACATTGTGAAGAAACTGATGATTCATATGGACAAGACAACCAGTCAGAGTAAGTACATTTAAAAAATATATTAATAAAATAAATAGATTTGATGTCAATTTTATGTCATCATACCTGATGATGTTTTGTGATGTTTACCTTGGTCTTTGATTGACAGGTTATCGGGATGAACTGCTGTCTAAGATCATCCTCATCTGTAGTCAGTCTGATTATCATTATATCACCAACTTTGAATGGTGAGTAGATTATTAAATCCATAAATATAGAGGCTTTGCAGCATCACGTGCTGGCGTCCATAATACAGCTTGGACTGCCTGTTCTTAGATGGCTGAACAATAAAATCGCTTTGCTGTCGGGAATTGAATTCTTTGTCATGTAAAACGATTGTATTGTTCCTGCCATCTAACATGGCTGCAGTCACGTGATGGTGCTAAGCCTCTATTGAATAAGAAAACAATGTATAAAATGGTCATACATTTAGGTAATCGTGTTATTGTTTATCAATGATTTGTGACATTCCCAAGAAATTCTATTGAAATTAGTGTTATTACAATGTCATACCATGCAATTGAAAAATCCCTAATGCTATGTTTTGAATGTATTGTCATATATAGGTATATTGATGTTCTGGTCCAGTTAACTAGAGTAGAGGGCACAAGATATGGTCGTCAGATTGCATCTCAGATGATGGATGTTACAATCAGAGTCAAGGCTATCCGTCCTTATGCCGTACAGTGTCTGGTGAGTACAATCATGTAAACCACTATAAATGTTTAAATGTTTGGTATATACTACAGTAATTCAATATTCCCATTGTAACAGTAACTCCAAACACTCCTAACACATGACATTTATTTGGAAGATTCACAAAATGAGTTAAATCATTTTTGTTCTTTTTCGTTCATTATTTTATCTAGTCCCTACTGCTGAAAAACAATCACTTATTATCTGGTAACATCCAGAAGAATGGCATGTGTGAAGTGCTATATGCTGGAGCATGGCTGTCAGGAGAATTCAGCGAGTAAGTACTGTATGCCCACGTAATCACTGACTTTGGTAGTATTATGTCTCTTACTTTTCTTGAACATATCAACAGTTTATGTTCACATCAGGTATATTTATTTTCTCATTCAAATTTGCCAACTTTTAATTAAGCAAAAGTTTATTATCTGTAGCTAACGCACGTTGGGTTGTTATATTAATATACAATAGTTGACGTCAGCATAAACATTGCTATTACATACCCCTAATATGGTTCAATTTTTTTCTAGGTACTTGCCTGATATTGGTGAAACACTGGAATGCTTACTGCGCACTAAAGCAACACTGTTACCTGGACACATCCAGGCTGTTTACGTACAGAGTATTGCTAAGTTGTATGCAAGGATCCTGAACAATATGGAAAAAGAGGTGAATAAGGTTAATTGTTGGGCGCATATGCCTATATGATGCCATGGAAATGCCTCGATTGCCATTCCACCAAAACCTACATACAGTAGGTATGCTTCATCGCAAGGGCAAATTATACAACTTCACGCACGTAAATGGGAAGTGCTGTAACCTCATATCCAGTGGACTTAAATATGAAACTTGTTGTTTGTATTTCTTCCATCATTTAGGGTGATGACAGTGCTGCAGTTGACCTAGGCCAAAAGCTGGTTGATAACCTTCCCATGTTTGTACAGAGTGCTGACCTTGAGGTTCAAGAAAGGGTGAGTAACCAGGATATTCCATTCTTGAGCATATTGCAACATGTTAAGCTTATAGATTTATATATTAGAAATGTTAAATAATGATTAATAATATCGTTTATTATATCAGGCAAGTTGTATACAACAGCTGATCAAATATGTCTTGAAGCTGCAAGGAAAAGGTATGTAAAAACTAATAGTTTTGGTGGCCCTAGATTAAAAAATAATATAGTAGACTAGTAAAATTATGAATGAGAAAATTTAGTCGATATATTGGCAGAAAAGTGGGAAGGCTAATGATCCCCTGATGAAGTACACTGTACAGATAGTAATGATGTATGGAGCAACCTCACAGAAGAACACCTAACAGCAGGCAGTGATGATTGTAAATTTCTTATTCTTGTTATTCTTTCGTGTAGGAGTCCAGTGCAGTGAGGAAGTGAATGCATTGTTTGTTGGAGAGTTGAATCCAGTTGCCGCTAAAGCACAAAAGAAGGTTCCAATACCAGAAGGGTAAGATAGAGTATGATAAGGGTATTATTCTCCTTCAGTACTTAGTATTTCTGCAAAACTTTCTTGTGCAAAGAGGAAGTTCTACTGTTCCTCCATTTGCAGTTAGTTTCTATGATATGGATGAGAATGACTATTGAATGAATGAAAGAAAACAGTTTAGTAGATGACATTAAAACAAACTGAACAAGTTGGTCAGATTTGGTTATTAAGTTTTTTCTGTGTTAATTTAGTCTTGACCTGGACAAATGGATCAATGAGCCTCCTAAAGAAAGCTCTGAAGAGGAAAATGATATTGAAGATATGTTTGGTAGCATAGAACACAGGTATGAGTAACAATCATACTTAACTCTTATCATACTGAAAACTCTGCATGCTGAATTTGTTTGATGGTGCTATCTTGTCCATTATTAGCTTCTAAAAGAAACAGAATCCTTTCGCATAAACTGTCCTAACTGTCCCTTTACACATACCTAACTAACACTTTATTCCATTTCGCTTCATAACCAAAGAACCCTTGAGCAAAGGACAGTTGAAGAACCAGATGAAGAAGAACTAGAAAAGGTCAGTAGTACTCTACACATGTCTCTTCTTTATAATCCTTTCCTGGTCCCAGGAATATCTTCATATTATTCATGTGACAAGTACAGGGTTCATGCTACTCCTTAAACTCCTTGAAAACTCCTTGAATTTTTGCTTTGATCATTACTTACATGGTTCTGAAATAGATCTAATAAGAAAGATCAGAAAATCTGAAAGTCAGCCATGTGCAACCACCGTGTAAAACCTTGGCATAGTTAGCTGAACATACTCCTTGAAAATTCATTTTTGGGTCCTTGTATACTCCTTGAATAGTCCTTGAATTTTAAGTGGTTACTTCAGCATGAACCCTGCAAGTATATCAAGTCTATTCATTTTCATTCAATATCCTTTTCTTTCAGAGGAGAGAAGTGCGCAGAGTAGAACAAGATACCAATCCACATTATCTTCGCCTGGACACACCCACCAAGGTACCAGCTTACAAAACCATTCTAGTGCTTTTCAAAGAGTTGTCAAAAAACTAATTCACTTTCATTTCAATCATAAAGACAATATTGTTTTTCACACTACTTTGTTATTTCTTTGCAAGGAGGATAAAACAGCTCTTAAAGTTGATGATATTCCAGTAGCTAACCTGGACTTGCCAGTCTCACTCAAAGTGTCAGGTAATATAACTTGATTTCTGAAGAGGAAGAAGAACCCAGAGACAAACCTTTGAATAATCAAAAATAATCCTGTCATCGATACTGTATTTATTCATATCTCTCACTTGTGTTGTATTTTTTAAAAAAAACGTTTTTCCTTTTCAGGCATTTCTATGTCCAAAAAGTACAAGAAAGGTAGAAAGAAGAAGCACAGGAAAGGTAAGGATTTGTTATTAACTAGAAATGCCATGATGGGCTGTCAGTGCCCATAATCCTACAGTACTACCACTACCAGAATCCTTCATGGTTTTTCCTTACTCAAATCCATGAGCACCTCATGGGAATATTGAAAAACTTGTTGTTGACTGACCAAACATTTGCAAGGGATTCTGGTATTTGTAGTAAAGGCTATCAAACAAATGACCAATTGTATGTAATTATTTTCTTTGATTATTTCTAAACAAGAGTTTCAAATAAGATTTTAGCCAGATATGTATACTTTTGTAACTGATTATATTTTCAGGTCGTCATGGTAGCAGAGGTGAAGACAGTGATGAAGAGGACCTATCCATGCAGATGAAGTATGAAGTCCTTCCCGCAGGAGCTGGAGAAATGCCAGAGGTACATAACAGAAATAATAATGTTCTTTTCTAGAGATATCACTTACCTGATGTCATCTGGATTCTGATTTGTCTTTTTTTTTTAGGGTGTCGAGGAAGCAGCATCAAGTGAAGAAGATACACCAGTGCATAATGTCGACGACCCCCACAGGCTTCTGGATGTTGACTTGTTAAAGTATGTTGCTAAGTTTTACATTGAGGAATCGTAGTGTTCACAGCATACACCTGCCATCAAGGCAACCCAGAGTGTTATATGTGTAGTACAGTTACCTGTCAGTGCATTGATGGTTTTTATCCAGATTTCTTCCACAAAAATCAGGATTCCAAAATAGGAATACCACTGCTAAATCTGTTTTAACAAAAAAATTATTAAATTCCAGGCCACTTGATAGTAGTGATGCTCTACCTGTGCGTACTCACAGGGTTGTTGACCCAGAAAGTCATGTCAAGAAGACAGAAGAGGAGGCAGAGGAGGTACATGAGAAGGTAAGGAATGGACGTAATGGTATCACCAATGATTCTTGTATGCCGTCTGATCTCTTTATTCACTTCATTGATCATGGAACAAGTGCCACAGGCCTTTTAGCCACTGGCAATGATGTGCTAACCTCATATAACAAGAAAAATGTATGTTTACTGTTTGGGCATTCTGTAGATGTGTAAACCTCATGTATAAAATATTTTCAATGAATAAGCAATAAAAATACATATGTGATCATTTAGTGTAAGGAAACAACCAGTAACATAGTGCAATTTATATCTCAAAGCTACATAACGGAATTGTTTAAACCAAAACAAGCTATATTGCTGTAGCTATTGAAGATAAAAATTTTCATTTTTTATGTTCATGGCAGGAGAAGAAAAGCAAGAAACGCTCAAAAAAGGATAAGGAAAAAAAGGTAAAAGATATGAAGAATGTTTCTGAAAGATTTGTAGGATCTTTGGTAGTCCTCAAAACCACTGTAAAAGATGGTGGTTTGGTTTTAACAAAGCCTTTCAAGTTATAACATCCAACATGGTAACCTAGTAGTATTTGTTGTTTTTTTCTTTCTTGAAATGACTACAAACCACCTCTATTCTATCTTGATGTTGGTAACAGTTTTCAAATTATTATGTACCAAGCATTTTCCTCTTCATTTCCAGAGCAAACATAAACATGACAAAAAAGAGAAAGAAGAAAAAGGAAAGAAATCTTCCCACAAACATAAACACCATCATCACATGGAAAAAGGTAATTTACAAACAAATGCATTTTTTTTTCCATCAAGCTTTTTTTTTTTTTGGAAAAGAAAATTTCCCAGCTCCAGGCAGGATTCAAATCCATGACCTCCTGTTTGCTAGAATTATTCTCATTCCTTCTCGAATTTACTTTTTATTATTTCAGAAGCAGAGAAAGAAGAGCCAGATTTGATGATCAACGGTGATGTTGAAGACAATGCAGATGAAGTTGATGAGATCAAAACAAACGTTGAACCTGGTGATGAACCAGTGACACAGAAAGATGGGAGCCAACCAAATGAAGAGGATGGTGCAAAGGTTAGAATAGTGAAGTATAAAAGTGACTAAAGATAATTTAACACAAGATAGTTACTGGTATATTCATAAACATGCAAACTTGCTAGCTGCATGCTGAAACTTAACATTTCTCTGCTGTCAGTCAAAACTAATCAGTCAGTGCCTTTCATATTTTTGACTAGCAGCAGTGAAGAGCCAAATTTCAGTGTGCAGCTCGCAGCTAGGAAGTTCGGATGTTTATGAAGATAGCAGTAAAATGAATGAGAATAGAGATGCAAATCAGTTGTACTTTATAACATTGCTTAATTCATTTCATTTCATTTTAACATTTCATTCATTTCATTCATTCAGCTTGATGATATGGATTTCTGGTTAACTCCATCTTCTTCCACAGTAAGTTCGTTGTAGCACACATACATTTGCCATTAATAATAACTACTTCATCATCCTTGATTTCTCTATTTACTTGGCAAATCTATATGTTTTTTTATCACCTATAAACCTTTTTTTTCCCTCCAGGCAAACAAGGCAGAAGAGCAGGAGACTGAAGTTCCCTCGGCTACTCCAGAGAGTGCTAAGACTACCAGACATAGAGACCGCAAGTCAACAGAGGTATTAATGTGAATCCTACATTAGTGATGGTAGAACTTTTTATGAGATAGAGAACATGGTTGTCTAGCTTGCGTACAAACATCTTTTGTTCATTTAGTCTTATATGGTGTGGTGTTAACCCAAGCTAGACCACAATGCATCATGTTTATTGAACTCATGAGGTCATTTGAGAGTTTAACAGTGCTTAGTTGCAATTCAGTACCAAGTAAATATTACTTTCTAAAAATGCTGACATTATTTACACTGAGTGTTTCTATTCTCATGTTACAGAGTAAAGAGCACAAGAAGAAGAAAGACAAACGGGAGAAGAAAAAGAGCAAGAAGACCCAAAAGACCCCAGAAGCATCACCAGAACATGAACCAGAAGCAGAAGCAAGTATGGAGCAGGACATTGTAGAAGTGAAACCAGTAGAGTATAAACCTGAGGTACTTCAATCATGACTACACTTTCAACTCCTATCCTTGACAAGAAGAAGGGCAATGCAGCAAGACCTTTYGTAGCTATTTTGGTTGTAATAAAAAAAGCCTTTATTTAGTTGTTTTTGCAATTCCCATTGATTAACTTAGCTTTTATGTTTCTAGTTATTATGTATTGTTTCTGTATTCAGCGCAGATGAACATCTTGTGCTAATCTGCGCTTTATAAATGTAATTTATTATTATAATACAAAAGTCTGAAAGAAAATGCATTTCATTTTGTACAGGAGTAAATCTGCATTGTTTTATAATCGTTTTAATGGTTGGCTGATATAAATATTGTTCCATAGTATTATTTTACTTCATTGTTGGTAAATCGGACGATTGTTACTTTATCTTTCAGCCACCAGTCTCATCATATAAAGTGTTGGCAGAAAATAGTTCTTTGAAACTGGTATGGAATCTTTACATTAGGAATGTCTTATTTAGATGACAACTTTTTTTCCTTCCATCACTTGATAGATTTCATTTATTTTCCTTCTTTTAGACACATCAAAGTAAAGCAGCAGCTCAAAATATGCATCAGCTGGTTGTGTCTATTATTTTCAGGTAAAGTGGAATCAAGGTTTATCATCAATGATGATAATGATGGTCATATAATATTGATGAAATGATGGTGATAATGATAATGGTGATGGATGATGATGATGAAGGCAGTGATGATAATTTTAATGGTTGTAATGATGATGGCAATGATAAAGAATGGTGTGCCCCGGGGGGGTACTCCCCTATATTTGCTATACGGGTACGTGCCGCCAAACGGGGTATGGTTTTCAACGATTCTACTCTGGAATAGGGTATATGAAATCACGTTCTCTCTTCTCGGCAACAGGGTATCTATTTTCGCACTTCCGGGAAAGGGTATGGTTTCCAGCAATCTTTCTCTGGAACAGGGTATGAATTTCAGCAATTTTACTCTGGAACAGGGTCAGGGTTCAAAGGGCTCAGCGGCACATCCCTACCCTAAACAGGCAAGAGTATCCCCCCTGGTGGTGTGCTAATGATGATAATGTTGGTGATGATGAGGGTCTAATTTATCAAGGAATCAATCCCTAACACAATCTTTTTTCACAGTAATCTTACAGATTTTCACATTAAATCTATGGAGTTCAATGTGTTGGATTCCCTAAATACCAAGATGGTCAGACCTGTGAGTACCATTTTTATAATGTTGGAAGCTTTTCTTCATTTAGTATAGAAAAATCCTCATCCAATGTACCTCATGGTTATGTTTTTAGATTGGTTATTCATCACGAGACAGTATTCCAGTGCCTTTCCAGTTGTTACCAGGTTCGTTGGAACCCACATATTCTTTTGATATTCTGAAACAAGCCAGTTAAAGAGGCTACAATATGTAACGTGCTGTTTTTGTTCTTTATTAACAGGTTCATCAAATGAAGGACAGTTTGCTTTTAATGTTGAAAATATTACTATGCCGCAGAAGTTAAGAGGAACACTAACATACATGATAAAGGTATGGAATATGTTGGTCTCATTCTGATCACCATATGTACCATGTCTCTCTGTCATATTTAACCATCATCATGTACATTTCAGGATCCTGAAGGATCTACAAGTGAGAAGATGGACTTCTCTTTATTCTTACCATGCTCATCATTCCTTGTTGCTACACCTTTGTCCAGGTAATTTCGAAAATCTGCCTCAAGGAGGGCAAAAAGAATCAGTAGTTATCACTAGACTGTAAAGCACATTGTTTTGATTTGACCTTTGGTTGTTTCTATTTCAGTTTGGACTTTTCTAACCTGCTGGCTGGTGGATCACTCACTAGTAAAAGTTCTGTCAAGGTGAGAACAGTGTTGTGTTATTTGTTTAATGACTATGATGGAGGTGTAATGATGAGAATGACAATATTGATGATAATGATGATGGAAGAATGTTGATTATGGATGGAGGATGATAAAGGATAATGGTGGTGATGATGTTTGGATGGATGATGATGGTGGTGATGATGATGTTTGGATGGATGATGATGGTGGTGATGATGATGGTTATGATAGTTGATGATGATGAAAGGATGATAATGATAATGGATGGATGATATTAATGACAACTGATGGTAATGATAAGGAACAAATCACATACATACCATCATTCACTCATTTAAACAGTCACCATAGTATTTTCATATATAATATTTATCAGATTATTACTGCACACACGTATCAACCATAGTTTTATTTCCTGTTTTCAGTTTAATGCACCAGAAGACCTTGAATTTGCTTCAGTCATTGCAAGGATCTGTTGTCTTTTACATTTTTCTGGTAAGTAAGAGACACATCCACTGTCATTTTCCAGTTTCTACATTTACCAAATATATTCCTATTCATAATTGTCTTGCTTTCCAAATTTATTTCCCCAGTGGTCGAGCAAGTAGATCATGGAGCATCATTATATTCTAGGTCAATCCAGTCTCATCATATCTGTCTCCTTGTCAAAGAATTCAATGTAAGTTAAATAATTTACTAGTACAGTGTCTATATCTTTGCCTGTGTCAGCTCATTCTTTCTTTCTTTCTTTAATCTGTTCACTGTGTTCTTGTATTCCATAGTTCTGGGCTCTACACAGAATTATGTGTGAATTATAGAGTTTGTGCTGTAGCTCCAACAACATGCTGTCGTTCTTTCAAAATATCTTTTCATTGTCTTACGCCAACTTGGTGTCTCTTGATATCTCAGTGAGATATCTTGTGCACCAAGAGTGAGTTCCTTTACATGCAAGGGTAAAATTTTCACAGGAATAAAACTATATTTACTACTCTTGATTTTCTCAGGGTCATTCGGTATCCATCGATGGCAAGTCAACAGAAAGCTCACTCCTTTCCAACGTCCTCAAAGAAGCAGAAACTCTCTTCACCAGTTAATCAATTGAACGACTACAAGCTACACATTATTAATTACTAAAAGAATAGGAAACTATTAAATATATAGGTTAAAAGATCAAGGGTAATAAATAGATTAAAATGTTGGAGAATTTTTTACTCAAAATTATGAATATTTCAGAACAATTAAATAAACAAGGAAAAGATCCGATCAGGTTTGCATGTAGAGAAGATTTGTTATGAATTTGATGATGTACTTTAATAAGGAGAATGAGTTAAGGAATGACTAAAGTCAGGGCTGTGATTTATTTTTAGTGATACAATGCTATGAATTTAGAAAGTTATAAGGGGAAAATACATTGTATTGAAGAAATTGAGATTAAAATTGTTGAAATTAATAATTGGTTAAAATGTGGTGCTGGACGAAGATAATGGCCAAGTGAAATGATTAATTCAGTTGGGTCAAGGAATGGAGAAAAGGGAAAGAAAATAGGAAATGAAAGAAACTTGACAAAATAAAACCTAAAAGTACATCCTAACCCAAATGATGAAATACGAGGGAAATACAAGATGGCCGACATCTAGCTTGATATAAATAATGAAACATTTTTTGTGGGACTTTATAAAGAGCACTATGACCTGCTTATGAGCGCGCGCCAATTACCTTCTGATGACGTCATCTAATCAGCTCATTCCTCGTTCTTCGTCAAATTGTGCTACAATGAGTGACGATACATCGGACGAAAGTATAGAGCCACCAAAGGTTCCAGAGTCTCGGCCATATCACTACGAAACTAAAGGTAAGAATTGTGAAAGGCAGTTTTTGAATAGAGACGAATCTAACGAGTGTTTTGATATCCAGGGAGCTTGCGCGCGCGCAATACTTAGCGCGAGGTTCTTCTCTCGCAAAATACTTTCTCATAACGAGATTCTAAGGAATAAAACGACTAAGGGTATTGAAGTGATGCATCTTAGCTTAAAATATCTCAAGGAAATCTATGCTAGAAATGAAAGTCTTACAGGAAAATTTAAACTACTAGACCAGATTGAATGAATTCGATTCTGAACCAGTCAGAATTCATCCCTGGTCTTCCAGTAATCCTAGAGACGCGACTACGCAGAGGTTAATTGAAATCTTTGCGTTCAAACGAGTTAGGTTCTCAGTTTTTCAAGAAAACTACTAAAATTCCTTAAAGAAATTGTCGCAAGTCACTGCGAGTCAGTGTTAAACTGAAGAGATGTGCATGGGTTTAGACTTGTGTCAATTTGCGCTGACATTAACTTAGATTTTGACCTGTAGAAGGCTATGGTTATAATCCAGCTGATAGAAATTACAAACCTGATGGCAAAAAGAGCAATATGTACTCAGACGGGGTTGGCATGCAGTACGCACCCAAGGGGTCACCAGAACCAGGAGCTGACGAACAAACTTCACGTCAACACACCAAGCGCAGCGCAAGACGCTACAACATCTTCGGAGCAACAGAACACGGCTTCAACAAACCAGGTATGGAAGACTTGAAGCAGCAATACATGATGGCGAAAACAGCAAAACAACCAAACACGTACAGGGAAGAGTACCGGGGACGTCCAAGAGCCATGTCCAGTGTACCCGACCTTTGCATTGACAAGGGCTCCGTGACCTTGACGGATATTGTTACCGCGTCATATCGTATACGTGATGGGACCATTAAAACTCCTTGCGAGGTGAGTAGCCTGTACTTAGAGCCATAAATCGTCCTTCTTTAATGAGGGTAGCAATTGATAGCTAGAGGCTGACAAACCTGTAGCCTTCATTCCATGATCAAATTGGAATTTAGAAGTTTCCTATAACTTATATAGAAACTTATATTTTACAACCACCACTCCCCATGCGGGGCTCTTCCATGAGGTTTTCTCCACACGCACTACCACTACATTCTATATTTACAACGCAACACTCAACCCAAACATCTGATATGATTCCCCCCTGCAGTATGTAATTACATTTATCTCTTAATGGTAAAATAAACTGTGGTTGTTGTAATCGCGCACAATACTGCGCAGAAAACAGGCTCCGTATATCTGTTTATCTGTGCGCAACCATTCAACGAGTTTATCTTGCTATCTGACTGCCTAGATATTCTTCTTTTGTTCGTGTTTCGTTAGAAAGCAGTGTCGTTTCCTGGAATACAAGACTACGACGTGTACTTCAAGCGAGAATATTTACAAGTATTTGGAAGGTGAGGTCGAGTAAGTCGTTATAGCATCTCTCTCATACCTCGCTAGTGCCAGATATAAATGGAAGGATAGGAAGAATTGAATGAAAAGTAGATGAACAAAAAATTGAAAACGTAGGAAATTCCTATTAGTAAGCGGACGATTAGACGAATTATGAACATACTGTGAGTAATCAGCCAAGAAACCAATAACTTAATGATAATTGATGATTAATGATAATATTCCTTTTTTTCACAGCTACAAGGCACGTGGCGCTCTGAATGCTTTGTTAACGTTATCAGAGGTAAAACTATCCTGTATGAATTTCTGTATTAGACCTGTAACTACACGAAATATTAATTTGGGGGGAGGGGGGTAACAGCAGTCAATAGCAGGGGAGGGGAGGGCGGTAACAAGGGGGAGGGCTACTCTACATTTTTGTACCGCGTCTAAACAGGATGACAATTGAAGAAAGATAGACATCGTTATACTGAAGATTCGTGATCGGGGTTTGAAACGTCTAGTTGTAAACATAAAAAAATCAGAGAAAACAAGTATAAAACACTCATAAACATGACATGACTCTTGACTGGAATATCGAAACACATGAAGAAAGATAGTCACATCAATTTAAATCCATGATCAAGTCATGGTGCAGAAAACTCACTGATAACTCACTCTTGTCGTTGATATCGCGAACAGGAACAACTAAGACGTGGCGTCATGACAACATCAACAGGCAGCCACGCCCTGGCTGTCGCTGGACACGGCAAGGAGCTCGGTGTTCCAGTCACTATTCTGGTGCCAGAAAATGTACCACCAAGAAAGGTGAAAATATGTGATCGGTATGGAGCCAAGACTAGATTTGCTGGCCAGAACGACAGAGAGGTATCTATACTATACCTTATATGACTATTTCAGATCTGCGACCAACGATATGGTATGACAGTCTCACTAATCAAAAACCTAATTTGAGTTTGTTCGCGTTAGGTGCAGGAAACTGCGAGGAAAATCGAAACTGAGGCAGAAGGCTTAACATTCATTGACGAGTAAGTAAAAAACCCTGATACTTGCTAGAATAACTAAACAACCCATGGATGGGAAAAGAATTAACTGTGGCGTGTATTACCTTTATCTTCAACTAATTCAAACTTTGCAAACTGGTTAGAGCTGTGCTGCAGCGTCATACATGGACCGTATAGCGGCTTCCAGAGACGCCTTCACATTGCATTCTGCGCCACTGCTGTACCTTTTGACTAGCGATTAACTCAGTTTTTATATACACCTATTTCGAAAATCGTTGTCGCATCAAGAGCCTCAAGTAACAAGCCAAGGCTCCAGAGAACGTCGGTACTTTTAATCATAATTGATTTATTCATGGTTCATGCAAGTGGCTATAGCTCTACACTAATTATCATCTCAAGCAGCCTTGCTTGGAGCAATTTGTGAAGTCAATAAATGAAAATGTACCATGAATAAACTAATTACAGCTAAAAGTACCGGCGTTCTCTGCGGTCTTGGCTTGTGTTGCTTGAGGCTTTTGGTGCGACAACGATTTCTGAAATAGGTGTATATTTTTTGTATTATCATTGTAGGAACGAGAGTTCGTATGTAATCAGCGGCCATGGTACCGTGGGACTCGAGATCATTGATCAAGTTGATGATATTGATGCCATTATCATACCCGTGGGGGGAGGGGGTCTGTTGGCTGGTATTTGTGTGGTATTCAAAGCTCTCAACCCAGATATTAAAATCATAGTAAGTCCTGGTTGATAAAATATTTGACCTTTATGAAAAGGCCTAGTTGTGGATGAGAACTTGGCCAGACACACACACACACACAGACACAGCCACAGCCAAAGACAGGCAAACATGCGGGCAGACAGACACACAGAAAGCTAGGGACAGATGGATAGACAGCCAGACGGACAGGCAGACCGACGGACAGACAGACCTCAAGTAACTTTTCTCTCTTTCTCTCACCATGTTGAGTATATAGAGATTTCTTTGTCATTATTATTTAATGAACAGGTCGTAGAGAGTAATGACTGTCCTAGTTTCCAGGCTGCTCTTGATGCTGGAGAACCTGTAACACTCAAGACAGAACTGGCTGTAACACTAGCTGATGGTGAGTCACGTACTCCCCACCCCTACCCCTGTTAGGCACCGTCATTCTCAGCCACGCACTGTGATTGGGTGAAAAAATGTGCTCTCGACCAATGAGACACTTATACTGAATCAACTGGAATAGAATCTGCTCTAATTGAATATAAATAATAAGTATTTTTCTATGAATCTGGCAGGTCTTAGCGACAGCAAGGTTGGCGATCTGCCTTTCAAACTTGTAAAAGACTGTGTGGATAAAGTTGTCGCAGTAAAGTAAGTTCCACCCCAAAAATGAAAGTACAGTAAAGACAGTAAACGCATACGGAATATTAGCAGCGTTCACTCGGGCTAGTATTAAACCAACCTTTTACTCGGGCTACTCACACATAAAAATCTTTTTCCTCCATGATAATCGTAGAATTGGAATAGTACAGAATGAGATCTAACACGTATATTTTTTGATCGAAACTCTTTAGGGAACAACATATTGCTCAAGCCGTGCTGAGGTTACTGGAGAAAGAGAGAGTCATTGTTGAAGGTTCCGGTGCGGCAGGCCTAGCTGCTATTATTGGAGGCTATCTCCCTGAATTAAAAGGAAAACGGTTAGACGGATAAATAATATTCTATTTTTCTTTTAGTTCTTTATCCAATTGCTTAAGTTCGCGATTTATGCTTTTTTTTAGCTCTTCCTTCCTTTCTTGCTTGCCCGCATTCCTTTCCTCCCTCCATCTTCGCTCACTTGCTTCCTTTTTTTCCAATTTTTTTCTTTTTCTTTGCCAAAAAAAGAAAACGCATTTACACAGAATATTGTCTTGACCTAGAGTGGTCATTCCATTATGTGGCGGCAACATTGATCCCACAGTTCTCGGCCGAGCGATTGAACGCGGGCTTACAGCTGATGAGCGAATGGTAAGGTTTCATATAAGGATCAACGATCGACCAGGTGCTTTAGCACGCTTGACGTCACTGTTATCTTCAACTGGTGTCAGGTAGGCCATTGTATACATACGTGTATGATTCCACATATCTGGCTTGGTTTGTTTAGTGTTTATATGTTTTGTTTGTTTAATAGTATCAAGGATCTGTACCAAGAAAGAACATGGCTTAATAGCTCAATGTTTACTGTTCAGGTATGATAGAAAACTAATACTTGACTCTTGTTTTCTACTGCGCACGGAGTTTCGTTGCTCCAGACGCGCAACACGTACCGACACTGTGACAGATGTATATCTGAGCATTAATTCTGATTGAACGAACAGTAATCTCGCACGTTTTGACCAGTTCAGTACAGTGACTGTGAAGGATGTATATCTGAGCATTAATTCTGATTGGACGAATAGTAATATTTAACTGGTTGAGTACCATGATCCGTATCGTGCCGTGTAATATAATATCTCACTGGTCTAATCATTTATATACCAACAGGTCAAGTGCGTGGCCGAACTACGCAATGCAGAACACGTTAAACAACTGAAGAAAGTTTTACATAAGAACTACAAGGATGACCTAATATGGAACATTAAATCAGACGAGTGATCTATTTATGACTATTACGTCATAATACTACGTCCAATGATACTATCAATACCTTTATGAATGAACAGAATTGTCCTGGATCTTGTAAAGTTAATAAATCTAAATGGTCCAATAAAACTATTAATAACAATAAAATAGATTGTCTTTATTTCAAATCAGAGACGTGTGTAGCAGATAGGGAGATCACAATGTGGGTTTAAGTGTTGGAATACCAATGAAATGCGTTCAACTACATATTGCAAAACTATAACTTGGAAAAAATTATGTCTTCACGACATCTACACTCAATAGGTCTTGGTTTTGTTTGACTGTTGGTGAATGAACAGACAATAAGCAACGCAATGTTGTTATGTTATGTTATGGACTAATTTCTTATTAATTATGTGTGATTAATTATATTTAGCTAATTAATTAATTAATCACAATTAATTAATTAATTATAATTAATTTGCATTAGGACTACCTGCCTATCCAAATTTGGCAGACCTAAGGACGTTCTCAAAATACTCGCCAACAAATATACTAATATGAAATCTAAATCTAAAGATAAAAAGTAAAAACTTTTCCCATCTCATAACCAAGAATATTTAATCATTTGTTTCTCATTTTTTCAATCCACATCAACAATATTCCATTGTTTTAAAAGCTCAATTAATCCTTATTTTTACAAAACATTTTCTAGCCCTAATCAGATTTATCAATTATGTAATATAAATACTCTCAAGTCTCAAGTCAGAAAACATTGGTTAAGAAAAAATTCCTTTGACTTTACATTCCATTGATTATTATAGTAAAATAGATTCCTTGATACGAAATATTGCTAATATATATATATATACATTATTAAGATAATAATAATCCAATAATAAATTATTTTTAAAGCAAAGCAATAATAAATATCATTTATAAATGGTGTTATTCAAAGGGATAGTGATATTTCCAATATTCAATACCATTCTTGATAATAATAATAATAAAATACCTCTTAGATATTATATTTACCTAAACTTGTTGGTTGAATAGTTTCTACACATTCACCCAACCATGCAAGCACATGACATTAACTCTTGTTAAAACTCTAAGAAACTTTCCTAGTCTTTGTGATCACCTTGTTATTCCACTCCAATAATAATTGTACCTTATTTATGGTGTTTGATATGAGTCCCTGCTTATCATCCCTGCATCTTTGTTGATCTTGATGAACCATGTTGAATTTTTAGTGTCTTTGGACTGGCAACTAAGATGATATTTGATAGAAAGAATGTCAATGAATTTAGCCTGGAAATTATGAGAAATGGGAAATGAAGAGAGGGAGACAGAGAAAGGAGTTTGGTGAAGAGGTTTTACAGTGGGGGGAGGAAGGTGTTTGAAGAGGCATTGCAGTGGGGGGGGGGGGGGGGGGGGGGGGGAGGGGGGAATATTAGTAGAGATGCTGCAGTGGAGGGGAGGGTAGACTTTAGAAGAGGTGTTTCAGTAGGGGGGATGTTATGGGAGAAACAAAGAGCCTGGTTAAAGCTTTGTTAATCATCCACATTAGCCACATATCAACATGACAAAGCAAGCCACTAGCCAGCACTAGTAGCAGGCTTAATCTCAACATAATATGGACAAATGAACCTAGTACTCGACTGTCATTGGACAGCCCACCTTGTGCATTGCAGAGTAGTGCACTTGTCCTTGTCAGGTGATCAAACTTCAACTTTCTTCCCCTTGGGGGGAGGGGGTGCATTCGAACCTGGTATTTTCTGTTTCTCCATGAATGTGATGTAGGAATAGATTATACTGCCAGAAACACTAGTACAAAATAAATCATATGAGTTAATTAGAGATGAGCTTGCCTCTCACTTCTGGGGTCTTAAGTTAGGTTTCTTGGTTACTCTCTTAATTTGTGAGGTTTTCTCCAGGTTCTCTGGTTTTCTTTTCTCACTCAAATCAGCTCCTTCTTCATGTACTGCCCGGGGGGGTACTCCCCTATATTCGCTATACGGGTACGTGCCGCCAAACAGGGTATGGTTTTCAGTGATTCTACTCTGGAACAGGGTATATAAAATCGTGCTCGCTCTGGGACAGGGTATATGAAATCACGCTCTCTCCTCTCTGGAGCAGGGTATCCATTTTCGTAATACCGAAAAAGGTTATGGTTTCCAGCGATCTTGCTCTGGAACAGGGTATGAATTTCAGTGATTTTACTCTGGAACAGGGTCAGGGTTCAGTGGGCTCAGTGGTGCATCCCTACCCTAAATGGGCAAGAGTACCCCCCGGGATGTACTGTACACAGTTTACATTATCCAATAGAAACAACAAATGAACCCTAAATATACAATTGAACAAAGCTAACAAAGAATACAATAGTTTTCCGGTACGCAAATTAGTAGCCCCTAAATCCCTCTAGATGGGTTTGCATAAAAGTGTTTTTCTTTGTAGAGAACTTACCTGATATTCAGCCCAATGAAGTTGGTCAGACTAAATACATAGTCACCACCTATCACCATCCCTAAATATGTCACTAAGATATTCTGAAAAAGTAAATCAATTGAAGAATCCTATTAATTAGGTACAGAATCATCCTCACATGCATTTAACTTTATTGAGCATTTTCTTGGTCAAACCAACTTCAAATCCAATATTTTCCCTCGTAGGAGATTGAGAATAGGGAAGTGACTGTACACATATTAACATGATCTCTTTATGAAGTAAAGGGTACATATCAGTTGATTCTATTCATCTTGACTTACCTTCAAACATCCTACTATAGTGGTGGTAAGGGCAGAATTAGCCTGCGTACACATCACAACTGAATACATCAAGATGAATCTGGAGAAAAACAGATCACAAATAAACACTTAACCATGCCGTGGATGCCCAGTTGAAGTAGGTGCCCGTTATACTCACCCCATAAAACAAGATAAGCAAAACTGTGACAGAAATGCTGGGCTTTTCCAATTATCATACTCTACCACCTGGCAATGGAAGATAAATGTTCAGTATATAAGGGACTGTTCGTATCATTTTAGAGAAAATCAGGTTCAGGGGGTCTGTACAAAAGAATTCAAGTTGCACAGCACTACCAAGAGGGGCAATGATTTTTATGCAAAACAGAGAGGGGGTTCAAATTTCTTGTATAGATCACCAAGCCACTGTAATCCCACTCCAACCCCCTCCTAGGACTAAAAGAGGGAAAGAAAAATAGAATACCAGGAAACTTGCAACTAACCTTGTCTAGTTCTCCAGTCCAGTATGCTATAAGAACAGCAGGCCCAATCATGAATAGAGCATTATAATACATCAAACCATACTTGCCAAGGTCCTACAAAAATGAAAGAATAAATTAAGGGATGGATGGATGAATGAATGCATTCCTCCATGGAATATTATGAATGCATGATAGGATTAATAAATAAATGGATGGATGGATGGATGGATGGATGGATGGATGGANTGGATGGATGGATGGATGGATGGATGGATTGATGGGATGAGATGAATGGATGGATGAATGTATGAGATATGAATAATGAATTGATGGGATGAGATGAATGGATGGATATATATAAATGGGTGGACAAATAGATAGATGGATATATTTCCTCCACCCCTCCCCCCTCAGTCAATAACATACCTCAGAATCAAGCTTTTTCTTGACATAAACTCCTAAAAATTGATTGTAAAATCATTTATACTTTTAATAAACAATTTCCATGAATAAATCAGAGTAACTGAAGTAAAATAATTAACTCTACCAAATGAGAAAAATAATGACTTGTAAGTACTGACCATTAGCAGCAGTAAAGATATCATTTAGAAGAATATAAATGTAGCCAATGAGATCAAAAGCCAGATCATCACTGAAAAAAAATGGACTGATAAGTTAGTGGAACTTTTAGCTCTCAAAGAGTTTTAGGTAATGAGTTTGGAATGATGGTGTTTTAAGATACCTTGCTGCAATAAGTGCTCCAGCAATCATCATGAACACCGTGAACTGAACTCTTGCATTTGCTTTATGGCTGAAAATTAATAACATTTATATCATCAATATTTTATTTACAAGAAATAAATTTCTATATACCTTATAAAATGGAACTGTCTGCTCAACACTAAATTACTAACAGAGTAAATTATGTTAATAAAAATATTAATTTACTGTATAGTATACACCCAATGAAAAATATACACTTCGAAAGGCCATACTGGGGAAAGATAATACAGTATGTATGTATGACCATGTGGATCCAACTTCATAAGAGTTAATTTTAATTTTTTACCTGCAAAATTTTTACCATAGAAACCAGATTTATCAAAACAAAAATATATGACGACGATATTATTGAGGCATAATATTTAAGTGAACTTTCTTGACTCAGCCTTTATAGCTGTGAGAATTTTGGCTAGGTAGGTCAAGAACTACCTATATTCTGGTTATGGGAATCTAAAACACTATTTAAACAATATAATGTCCATTGGAAGATTTAATTAAGTCCACACACCCCATGTTTCTGGTGTATTATATTAATTTTAAGATTAGTCGACATTGTTTTTGGATTTCATTTACTTACTTTAATAATATATACTCTCCAATCATAGTAAAAAGGATAGAGAATCTTCTTAGGACTGTGAACATTGGCAAACTGTGAATGAAAATTTAAAAAATAAATTGAATTTGTGAGAAGATTTGTACAATGTAGAGAGACAGGACAATATTGAAACAGCTGAGAATTGCATTTGTTTGGAACTTACTTTAATCTTTTGGTACTTCCAAGGCCAAATAAGAGGTTTAAAACATAAATAAGAGGTAAAGGCCAAACCTGATCAAATAAAACACTATTGTTAGAATTCACAAAAATTTTTTTAAGAATATCATTTCCTCAAATATATGCATAGGGCTACGTGAAACTCTGTGTGTAAGCTACAGTAGCCTGACTCTTGTGCATTTGTTGCCCTAACAAAAATTATATCTGGCACTCATGGCACAACTTTTCAACAATGTTTCATTAATCGAACTTGCAATAATAAAATGAATCTTTGAAAGGAATGCATGAGCTGGTTTGACTGTAATTCTGCTTCATGAATGGAGAGAACTTGTTATGTAATTCACATATCAATTACAAACCTTTAAAAATGTTGAACTAGCGTACTTGGGAAATTTTATGTAACCAAAGAATCTAGCAATATAGAGTACTACAACTGTAGCAAACATCTGTGAAAAATGATAACTGTGTTTATAATAATAATAATTTAAATATTCAAGCATAAACTTAGCAACAATGTTATGTTACACTACTAGTGTATATGATGTATAAATAAAATTTAAAAAAGGCTGTTCACTCACTTGACCAATTCCAAGAAACTGGAATGATGGAAACCTTAAAGAAAATATCCAAAATATTAGACATTGGTTCTAATATTACAGGTACCAAAGGAAAGGGTCACAATTATTGAAACCTAATCCCTACAAAAGATGAAATTTTAATTTTAATTTTCGTTTGAAGTTGAAAGGAAACTTTGATACAAATAATAAAAGAATAAAATGTCTAATAAATATACTGTAGATTAGTTACAAAAGGGGAAAGTATTGGGTGCTTTTTGCAAACGTTATCAAGCTTAATGAACTAAAAGACTAAATCAAAAAGTAAACAAGATTTTTACTCACTTGTAAGTTGTAAGGACATTTTTGTTGACTACTACGATAAGAAAAGAGCAAATCCCGTACGTAACTGCTGTACTAACTCTTGTAAAAAGGCTTGCTTTAGTCATAGTCATGATAATAGTTTTAGTTCAGAGTGTAATGTTTTCTCCCTCCACCGGTCAATTTATCCCAGCAACGTGTCTACCATCTTGGTGAAAACAGCTGATGACGGGGGGTGGGTGGGGGAATTGATTGTTTAATGGTATTTTTTCACGATTTCGTAAAAAAAAAAAAAGACATGGAAAATGAAAAATAAATAATCATATACACAATAAAATTAGAAAAATGTTATCTCTACTAAGGTACTGAAATTAAAGAAAAAGAACTTAAAATAGGATTAAATATTAGCATCAAAGGAATTTGCTCTTATTGTTTTATTTGCATTTTGAAATTTCTTTGTTTTTTGAATTTCACGAGTTTTATACTTTTCATTAGTAATATGCATTAAAAAAATAACCTTGAGTGGTTTTTTATTTTTAGGATAAAAAATTTTACAAAAATTATGTTGGGTTGCCTGTGTATTTGTTTAATTCGCAATGTATTGTGGTTTGTTTTTACAAAGGCACATTGTTTTCGTTATTGAAACGGCTCGAATTCGACTTTACCAACGAAGAAACAGCATAACTTACCAAAACTCTCCTTCAATAGACCTTCGATGACCCTAGGATGGCTTTGAATCGCGAATTGGAGTCATTGCAAGAGTAAGTTCTGCCATTATTCATGATTTTGCAGTAATTCAAAGCGTTTTCCGAAACGACAAATCGAGTCCAAAACGAAATCGAAGCGAAATCAAAGGCAATTTTAACCCTCGATTTGTTTTCAAAAAAATAAGATTCTATTTAAAAAAACTCCTCGAAATTTCCTCAAACAATTGATGAATCATTTTTAGTAGAGAGGCAAGATAAATACGGACTTGAAGGATCTTTCTGCTTGAATTTACTCTCACTGTGTGTGAGCCAGTCGAGCGTTGTTCCGACACATGGCGGCCGATTCTTCGCGGTGATTTATGATAATTTATGCAAAAACGTGCAACACATGGATACATTGTTGTTTGTTTATTAAAATAGTTATATTTCTATTTACGTAAATACAAAAACGGGGATAACAGCAATCAAATATATTCGCTTTCTAAAATTCTTGTTATTATTATGAGCTATTTTCGATCTGTCACTCTTCCCTTCCGGCGTTTTTATATTATTTTTATTTTTGACGAGAATTATTTTTTTCTTGAGCCATTTGCTCCTAAAAGTTAACCAAGGATCTTATTTAAGTGTATATATATTTTTTAGTGACAGCGTTCCCAAGTTTGAAGAGTTTTCTTGGAGTCAACAAGACGTGAAAGGAAAGCGCAGAATTATTGAAGCAGAAATCGTTAGTGGCCAATCGTCTCCTAAGAAAATGGCCATTGAGCTGACAAGCGACGATGGTAATTTTACTTGTTACCCTTGTACATATATATATATATATATATATATATATATTCCTGTGTGTTTAAAGCTTTTATTGCTTTTTTAGAAGGAGGCTCTCCTGTCGTGACTCAGATCTGCAGTCTTGTGAGTGGTGACGATGATGACGTCGAACACCAAATTGATCATCCTTCAGTAGAATACCTTAACAATGGTGCGACTATACAAGTATACGAGATGCCGCCTGAGACAAATACTATCGATATAAAGAGAGTTGAAGAACATGATGATAGAGGTTAGATGGACATTTAGAGAATTCCTAACTTGCCTAATGAGGGAAAAAGCCAATATATAAATGTTTTTTTAAAAGTTTCCTAAAGTGGGGCACCCACTCTCGATAGCATTTTTTTTTTCTTGGAGGGAGGTTAGGTAGTTATTGGAGCAGAGGGGCGCAAAAACGTCTACCACCCCCTCCCCCAGGGGCAAATTATAAACACACAGAAAATATACTATAATAAGAAAATATTTATATAACGTAAGAGCTTTTAACGTTGAAAGAACTTCAAGAGGTTGTTATCGCTTGAAACAACACCTCATCCATCTACGCATGTGTAGACACTGTAGTATATACCCATTTTTTGACCTAGATATTTTTGTCTTTAGTTGACACAGAAGAAGTCATAATCAATGGATTCCCAGTTTATCAACTGGAAGGGAATGCCCCATTCTTGAACGAAACTCTACAGCTTTGTATGGGAAAGGGATTGGACCAACGTTATATCTGTTCTAAAGTCCCCGTCAATATCCTGCAAAACGCCTTATTCGTCGTTGATTTCCAGTGCGTACGTCATCATGACGTAGTTGCTATGGACAAGGGATCCTTTGGGCGGCAATCAAGCCCTACCCGTCACGTGGCTATTAAGGTGTTGCCAGATGGGAGAGTAGAAGATATCAAGACGGTCAAGTTTCTTGGAGCTGATGCCCTTGAACCTGGGTACGAGTACTACAAGATTCGACGCCATTACACTTGGCACAAATGCATCTCGGGCCTTTCACGGGTGATAACGAGACTGGAATACAAGAATGTCTTGTTCAGATATGGAGTAGTGCAGTTTAAAATGAATGAAGAGGACAAATCATTCGCTAGTAATTTTAAGCCGCAGCCCACGTCCAAAGCGGATAAGACACAGCGATCAACGCCACGAGGAAGCTTGGAAGGTCGCGCGCATGCGCAAACCGACACTAGTCCTGTCAGCCATAATCAAGCACATAAAACCACTCCTTCACGGTACATCAGCGCCTTAAATAGCACTCAGTCCCCACCAAGAATACCTATAGAATCTTCTGAGGGTTCTTTTTCTGGTTCAGCGCAGAGCGAGCAGCCATCCACCACGCCCAGTGATGCAAGTTCCTGCAAGGGTGAAATATTACACATCCTGAAGAACGCTGACAAGCCAAAACCACTGCTGGGCGGTGAAGTACCAGACTTCAGCAAGCTGCTGAACTTATTGAAGTGCGAGGACTTTCTCTGTGATGTGTCGTTCGTTTCGGTTGTGAATAACAATGTCAAGAGTCTGAATCCAAGAACCTTTGCCATGGGAGAGCTACAGAAGCATTGGCTGAATACCTACTGCTCAGGAGAAAACCCCAAGTCTGTTGTTAATATCTCTACGAGATACAAAATCGGTAGCTATTACCTTACAATGCTGACCTGCTCTTTGCCTATTTTTGTATTTCGAGACGACCCTTCAGCAAAGCATCCTATGGTCCTTCTTGGTCTGATGACCAGCATGACGAACAGCAGCGAAGACTACGAGTACCTTGCCAGTAATCTACGGCGTCAGGGAATCAAGAGCATGGTTTACGGTACTAATGGAAACTTTAGCCTAGATGCTGCTCTTGAGAGAACTTTTCCAACGCAGGAAAGAAGTTTATTAAACAGCAGTTCCATTTCAGAGAAGAGCATCCATATTTGCTGCTTTGACAAAATGAGAGAAGATATCTGTTTGAAACTCGACGAACTAAATGTGAAAAACGCCGAGTCCAAGATCATCTTACGCCAAATTCTTGGATCTCCCGAGTCAGACAAGACATCGAATGATTCTTTAGTTGATCAAAAAAGCGAAGTAAAATTTCGCGAGATGCTTGCAACGTTGGAAAAAAAATGGCCAGTAGCATTCCGTAACTGGTTCACATCCAGCACTGATAATTCCGACCGGTCGTTATCTGAAACCGTCAAGAAATGCATGCTCCGACCAGTGCGTATATTAGCAGGCCTCGGAAACCCACCGATAAAGTACAGCAACAAAAATAACTACAGTAAATTTGTGATTGATGCAGTATCGGAAATCGAGTCTTTTGGTCCTGTAGACCTGGTGAAGATCCATGAGATCATCAAGCTCAAGGCAGTTGAGTCCCAGATAACAGAGTTTGTTAAAGCAATGTACAATATGGGTGAACTGAGACTAGCCAACGCCTACCAGCACCTCAAAGTCTCACTTATAAGTTAAAGATCACTTGGTAGAGTCAATTCTATCAGTTGCAGTAAAATGGGTTCAGAACAAAAACCAATATAGTGTTACGGATACCGTTAAAACATCATCAGATGTCAACATACATTTTACAGATTTTAGAAGCCTTTCATTTCAATTTGTTTATTTTTCCTACGATGATAGTGTTATAATTCGATTAGAATCTTAGAGGATAGCTGAAAAGAGAGAATTTCTATTTGTTGCTATGACAATCAGTAGAATTTACCGCGGTAAAATCTACTGAAGGTGGGCTATACGAACACTATGACAATCGTTCATTAAGAATTACTCTTACCAATAACTATTACCAATTAGGAACTCTCCTTTTATGAAAATTTTAAAGAATGTTTATTTTTAAAAACTGTTAACATGTCAATAAGTAAAGCCCTCTTTGATGGAAAAAGGGCACCGCATTCGTCAAGTGCATAGACTTTACTAACAAGACATTGCTATAGAAACAAGAGTACCTACCAGGAAAAGGAGATCTGCTCTTCTTACCTTTAAAAGACCGTCCAGTGAATGTCTAATAGTGTTTTCAGAACTCTTTTAGATTTTGTAGAAGCATTGGTTTGTATATCACTACAAATTTCAATAAATTAATTTGTTAAAAAATGCTTTTAAATATGATGTCATAATGTACGTTCACGCCTAATGAGCATTGTGGGTATTTGATCACGTGATGTCAATTTGCAGAAGGATCGAAAATATGGCGACTGTAAACATGAAAAATTGTGCTCTGAGTTTACTGCTATTTATTGCTGTTTTATCGAGTATTTCTCTTGGAGAACAACCTAAAAGTATAACGGAGGAATGCAAGAAAAGGTGTGAAAGGTCTTATCCTCCCCATACCTACCCAAAGGTTGGTATTCTTTGCTTTCTTTTTGTAAACAAGCTCGTGCTCTTACTATTTCGATCGAAGAAGGCGAACTTTATTTTATTCTTGAACGCTTTCTAGTCTATTAAATGAGCTCGTGTGAAAAGATTTTTTAAAACAGAGTTGTTTTTGTGTTGTTAAATGTTTATTCTTGCGTGTTTATTAGCCAGAAACTCATGAAGCTTGTTTGAGAGGTTGTCGTTTATCAGCCATCGGACAGCTTTCCTCGCCTGATCGAAACAAAGAAAATGCTTCGAAAATTTGCATAGCAGGTTAGTTTATTGTGCTCCTTCTTCATACAATAAAATCCTAAGAAAAGAACTGATTCAATTTATTCATCGTGCTCGTTTATAAAGTTCTAAAGAGGATATTTCTTGTAAAAACAATATTCGTGACTCGAWGCAGGACATYAAACAAAAGGCTTCGCTCGAAATTCGAATTTCGAGCGAAGCCTTTTGTTTAATGTCCTGCATCGAGTCACGAATATTGTTTTTACAAGAAATATCCTCTCTAGAACTTATGGGAAACTAAAAAAGCCAAAAAACATGCTCGAGTAAGATATTAAATTTTCCATCGTGGAATAAGTATTTCTACTGCAAATGTTTTGAACTAAATGGAAATTTCTTGTCAAAACTATTAATAAAATTTGTACCAAAATTAATATTTATTTTGTCTGTCATGCATGTCAGGCTGTAAAGAGAGTTACCCAGATGGAGACAGGTTATATGCCTGTAAAGTTGGTTGTAACAGCCAAGATATCATTCCAACTCCAGAGGCAATGTACAAGGTACACAGACCACCATGCCACACTACATATCATTAGTATTCAAGATTTACAGAGACATTACATAAATATTATTTATCCTCAAATTAATAGATTACTCTCATACCTTGGCTCTGCAGTATTAGACCTTTCCTCTTTATGTTAGCTCCAGATGTAGGCACATTTTCTCTTGCTTTGGCCACTGTCCACCTTGATGGATTAACATAAGCCAAAAATCCATCTTAAAATCATGAAGGATACAGGGACATGTTATAGAGCTTAGAAAACATTTAAACACAAAATATACACAGGAATAAATATATATTACTTTATCTTGTAGGAACACAAAGATGGAATGATGGCAATGCATGGTTACATGAGCTTGCGACCAATAATGGTTGCACAGCAGTATTGCCATGGATTAATCAGAAAAGTGACTTATTTTGTTAGTATCTCCTCCACATACTATTCCAGTACAAACAGCGCAGGACAGACTGTTGTTGTCAAGATTGATAGCCCTCCACAGCTTTTGACACATGTATCTCAACGACTAACTAGTAAAGATGATACACAGATTAATGTGCAGAAGAGAGACAAAGGTATTTACTAAACAGATTCTTTAGAATTGTCTAATATTTTGGGTTTTTTTTGCTGACAATGTGTATTAAATCCTAGATGACAAGGGGTATTCCTGGAAAATTGTTCACAAGAGCCGGGCGTGGCTTCACTGTGTGTCTCGACGTTCTGGTCTTCCATTTTGGTTACTGTCAATCACTCTTTTCATGGGATTTGCATTCATGCTTTGGGTATGTTGCTCTTCATTCAGCTTGGATCAGAACCAAGAGAAAGAAAAGGTAAAAGACTGAAGATAAATCCTAAGCCACATTAAAACTAAAGGGCTATTTGCTTTATTCTGTGAACCTTTGGGCTATTTGTGGTCCATTGTACTTATGCAACTTTGTTGTTTTCTAACAGCAACTTCGTCAGGACGATATCTTCTTGCTTGAAGATGATGATGAATTTCTTCTTAAAAAACAACCCATAACCAAGTCAGAAGAGGCTGGTCCACTACCTGTTAAAGTCAACATCTCTGCCTCAATCATTTAACTTTATCCGATACTTTTTGAGTAGGGTGGGGTGGGTTGAACACTTGTATACATTAGAGTACACTTGTATACATTAGAGTAATATATGGGAAGTTAGTGACATCATACTTCTCATTTTGATATGCATTCATTTTCTCAGTTCCTTATTTACTACAGTATTATTAATCTCAGGTTTTGAATAAAAAGCTTTTACAGTTTACAGTATTATGATGAAAAGCAATCCGTTCTGGATTCCAATTAGTCCATTCCATAATAATATTCTATGAAATGGAGTCTTGGAGTAGAAGATCTGGTGGGTGGGGATGGGTGACTTAAGACTGGTTAGGTAAAGGGAGGGCAATCCATTGTTATAGTCATTATGAATAATATTCTGTTTGGTGATAAGTATGATAGTGTTTGTCTAGTTATTTAATCTTTATCATTCTTTGTTGGGCAAGTATCTTCCTTGGCTAAGATTTCCAGCTTTCAGTGTTACATGTCCCGATGGGTGGAAATATGAGCTATGTGTGCTATGTTAAAATTGTGTGTATAGGTTGCTATCAATAGATGTCACTTCTGGTTATAGCTATGTTTTTAATGGCTTGTAGATTCCTGGAGGTTGTTTTGATCTCTTGTTTTCTGGTTTGATGTCGTGAAAGTAGTCAAATACGATAGTTTAAATATTTTGATTTGTTTTGACTTAGCATCCGCTAGTTGCCCCTCAGTCAACCGCTTGTTTGCCCCCCAGTCAACTCCAAAAAGTCACATGATTGATAGTAAGCAATTAAACTGTTTCTGTGAGGGAAAATGTAAAACACTTCAATTCAAAACAATACAAATGGAATAATTTATTTAAAGTACTAAAACAAATCAAGCACCAGTAGCAATTATAAACATTATTGTCCTTAAGAATATATTAATAATGCTACATAATATTAAAATTGCATTGGTAAGATAACACAATTTTTCATACAAAAATTAATGATGTAGAATGTTAACTGTGCAAATTTTAGACCGTAAATTCTTGGTGTTGTTGGTGATTTAGAATTAAAATGCTTTCTTTTATAAAATTTGTCATTAATTCTTGTTGTATAGTTAATAAAATTGAAGTGCGGCACTGGTACAGTCGTTCCTACTCTGGTTGCCTCCCTTGGCACCATCGGAGGCTTGAGAGTTAGTTGAATGAATGAATTTATCCAGAAGTGGATCAGAACTGCATTTATGGTTTCTTATACCTTATGATTTAAGTATCGTGAAACAACACAATATGAAAAGAAATATTCTGCAAGTAAATGAACATCTACATCTACATAATTTTTAGAAGCCTAAGAAAACCATAATCGCTCACAGAATAATAATAATAGGCAAAAAAGGATGAAGAAGATACTTCAAGGATTTCTCGGTGAAAACAGTGTAGTTAGAAAACACTCGAACTTGAGATGAAAAGCCTACAGGAACCGTGGTGCCTTGCCTTAAAGACCTTGCATATTCTACGGTTGACTCAGATCTTGACAGGCTCTTTCCCTGTGGGTGGTCTTGTGTTTCCAGACAGTATAGAGTCTGTAAAGTACCATTCCACACATTCCAGGAAAAGACAAATCCAGTTTGCTGGAGTAGAGGGCTGAAATTTGGAATATTTGGGAAACGACTATAAGTTGAAAAATAAGTGCAATGCAGTGTCTTTTGAGAAAATTTTGGGGGGATTTACCACACAAAAAATGAACCGATTTCTTAAAACTACACAATATTCCCAACTCAGAAGCTCCCCACTCCTTGGAAATTTTAATCCTTCTCATGGATGAGGTATTCTAATGTTATTCTATTATTCTAAGACCAAAAAGGCATGGTGGGCGAGTATAAGCCTAGGATTTTTTTATGGAGGTTTAGGTACGCATATATTTAGGTATGTATATATTTAGGTGCGCATATATTGAGGTATGCATATATTGAGGTGTGCATATATTGAGGTATTCATATATTGAGGTATGCATATATTGAGGTGTGCATATATTGAGGTAT